GAGAGAGAGAGAGAGAGAGAGAGAGAGAGAGAGAGAGAGAGAGAGAGAGAGAGGGAAGCCAGCTCTATTTTGCATGCCACATGCCACAAATTGGGGACAGCTGTCCCAGTTCTGAACTAGAATGCTTGACCTTCACAGAAATTTCCCCATATTCACATTCAAGATTTCATATGGGCTTTGAAAATGTTTCATTTAAAAAAAAAAGTTCCCTCATGCCCCAATTTTGATCCAGATATGACAATGGGATAAATGCCACATAAAAGGCAAAACCAAATGAGGGGGGGAAACGATGTTGTAATAAAAAGAGCCTTTTTGCCTCTGTATTTATCTAACCCAGGGGTAGGCAACCTGGGCTCTTTTATGACTCGTGGACTTCAACTCCCAGAATTCCTGAGCCAGCCATGCTGAGGGGAAAGGGAGAGGTTTCCAAGCTGAGCCATGCTGGCTCAGGAATTCTGGGAGTTGAAGTCCACGAGTCATAAAAGAGCCAAGGTTGCTTACCCCTGATCTAACCCTTTTAAAAAAAAACCTTGGTAGATTGTGACATGAAGTTTGTCTTTGATTTGGCAGTTTCAGCACAGAGCAGATTGTTGAGGAGCATTTATTTTAGGGGAAAAAACCCAATATATTTCCAGCTACATTGTGTGTAAAAAAAAAAATACCTCACCGAGGCCAGCTTCAATTGACAGTAAAAAAAAAAAAAAAAAAAAAAGTCAGGAGAAACACATGCAGTTAAGCAGTCATATCCAGGAAGGCACACCCACACGGGAGGAGACATTCTCCCAGTCCAACCTTATGGTTTAATTTAAGGCACGTAGTTTCCCATCCACCAGCAAGTCAACCTCTTCCACTGCTCCTCTGATAAGCATTGCTCCAGCAAACCCCTTGTGCTTTTCCCAGAAGAACAGACCACACTTCCTTCCTGAATGCTTGACTTTTGGTCTGGTTGAAATGTAAAACTGACTCAGAAAATGATGAGTCAGGGTATCTTGCCAACCACAGCTGATAAACCCCTGCAGCTTCTCGGTTCAGATTCGCTGAGGACGAGGGGCAAATACAGGCCAAGTCATGAAGTTGGGAAGATCTCTCCCCTGGGCTCTGAGGCAAGGGGTCAGAGATGATGCATCTAGTGCAGTGTTTCTCAACCTTGACAATTTTAAGGCATGTGGACTTCAACTCCCAGAATTCCACAGCCAGCATTGCTGGCTGTGGAATTCTGGGAGTTGAAGTCCACATGCCTTAAAATTGTCAAGGTTGAGAAACACTGATCTAGTGAATGTGTGCTACTGCCTCCAGCCCCTTTGGGGTTAATCTATCTCAGACAGGTCAAACACAAGGCCCGGGGGCCGGATGCAGCCCGCGAAGTGGTTTCATGTGGCCCGCGAAGCCATCCTGGAAACAGTGAGGGAATGGCCCCCGCTGCCTTGGCCCTGGCACAGGCCGGCCGGGAGCCAATGTACAATTTTGTGGTGGCCATCTATGCTGAAACACATTCAGTCTTAGCTCCATAAGCCACCTCCCCACATGGCCTGAGAGGAACAGTGAGGCTCCTCCAGTGGACCATGCCTTGGCACTTGCCCCGGTCCCACCCCCTTCTGCCAGAGACCCTCAGATCTGTCCCACTCCTGCCTGGGCCCCCACAGGCACCCTTGACGCGAACGATGTAGAGCTGGCCATGCCCACCCAGTAGGCCACACCTACTCCATCCACGCCCACCCAGTAGACCACACTCACCCTGGCCACACCCACCCGGCCCCCTGAGGGCAACTGCAATGCTGATGCGGCCCTCAATGAAATTGAATTTGACACCCCTGATCTATCTGGTCAGGTGGTTCTCAAAATACTATACTGGGAACCCTTTGTTGGAAATACTCTAGGTCAGGGGTCTTCAAACTTGGCCCTGTTATGACTTGTGGACTTCAACTCCCAGAATTCCTCAGCCAGGCATGCCTGGCTGAGGAATTCTGGGAGTTGAAGTCCACAAGTCATAACAGGGCCAAGTTTGAAGACCCCTGCTCTAGGTGATGAACAGGAGCCTGTGCAAGATTCTGACCCTTGCTTTTGATGAAAGGAAGAGTGGAATGGTGGTGGGCGCGAAGCAGTCCACTGGGCCAACCTCCTACCAATCTGGATGCCATCCAGCTGTGTGGACTAAGGCCAACATTCTCCAGCCAGCATGGTAGGAAGAAAGGCTGATTAACTGTTTGTGTCTCCGTTATTTGCTACTCGATGCACTTTTCCTTCCTGTTTTTAGAAAAACAAACAACGCATGCTGCTGGATTACCTCTAAACCAGTGTTCTGCAAACTTGGCAATTTTAAGATACGTGGACTTCAGCTCCCTGATTCTAGCTGGCTGGAGAATTGAAGTCCACACAACTTGAAGTTGCCCAGTTTGACAAACACTGTTCTAAATAATCACAAACAACAAGGATTCTGTAAATGTTATCCTGCACTTGTTTAGGAAATGTCTGTAATCTCCAGTGCTGCTACTGACTATTCACCTTCCAGGTCGGTGTTGAATGCACATGCGTCTCTCCCTGTGTGCAAAACAAAAAAGCCCCAGACTTACCAACGTAACGCCCTCCAGGCTTGATGACAATGGCGCCCCGGCTCCGTGTCTCCTCTTCCACCAGGGCCATGCTCTGCTTTGCCTTCTGGTAGGATTCATCGGTGGCACAGACAGTGATTTTGTCCTGGATGCTGCCAAGGCAATCCAGCTGAATGTTACCATTGCTGTATTAAAAAAAAGGGGAGGGAAAGTCAGAAAATAAGCTTTTGTCACAATCTCTCTCTCTCTCTCTCTCTCTCTCTCTCTCTCTCTCTCTCTCTCTCTCCTCTCTCTCTCTCTCTCTCTCTCTCTCACACACACACACACACACACACATTATATCCCATTGAAAGTAAATTGTTTTGACCCCAGCCGCTGTTGCCTTCTCGGTTGTCAACCTGTATTATTCTCTAGTTCATTGAACCTTTTGTTCCAGGGGCCTGCTTGGTACCAGGTCACGCCCGATGCACACCGCTCTTTTACAGAGGTGGACCAGGCTTTGCAGGGGAGAGCCCACAGGCACGTCTACGTCAGGAAGCAGCTCCTGCAAACACAAGAGCATTCCTCACCTGGACACATACTGCTGGATGCAATCAAAACTCCCCTGAGGGCTGTCCTTGCCAATATTAGAGAGATAAAAGGAAAATGTCCGAACTCCTGTTGGGCAGTCTGGTCTCGGTATTGAGATGTGCTGTTTTAGAAGAATAGGAAATATAAATATCTGTCCCGGCAAGAAAGATAAAACAGGTCTGAATTCCAGTGAAAGAAAGTACAGCCAATTATGGAGTCTAATTAAATCAAAAGATTGGCTTTGGAGGGGATAGAAGGAGAATCCGGTGCATCTACCCAGAAAGAGATGCAGCCTTCTTGAAGGACCTAAGAAATGAGAAGGTGATTTATTCCAGGTGACATATCCCCTCAGCTGAATTAATACTCCAAATTTTGAAGTCTCGGGTAGAGGAAAAAAATAGAAAATTTCTATTTCTTTATATGTGTTTTTTAGCTTTGGTTTTGCTCATTGCTCTTTATTTTTAAAATGTTTTTGTTGTTTGTTTCTTGTTTGTCTCCCCCCCCCCTCTTTTTCCTCTCAGGTAGTTTAGTTTCCCCCCTTTTTTTCCATTATATAGGTATTCCTCATCTTATGACCACAACCGAGCCCAAAATTTCTGTTGCTGAGACATTTGTTAAGTAAATTTTGCCCCATTTTATGACCTTTCTTGCCACAATTTTGTTAAGTGAGTCACTAATTGTTAAGTGACTCTGACTTTCCCATTGATTTTGCCTGTCAGAAGGTTGCAAAAGTTGGTCACCATGACCCTGGGACACGGCAACCGTCATAAATATGAGTCAGTTGCCAAGCGTACGAATTTTAATCATGTTACCGCAGGGATGCTGCAATTGTTAAGTGTGAAAAACGATCATAAGTCACTTTTTTCAGTCCTGCTGGAACTTTAAATGGTCACTAAATGAACTTTTGTAAGTCGAGGAGTACTTGTAGTTTTTTTTAATTAGAGGTAAAGTTTACTTTAAAAATATCTATAATTCTTTATACAACAGTAATTGTTATATCACTATGTTTATATATATATATAAGATTAAAAGATCTGTTTTAAACAATTGGCAACTGTAATATCTTTAAACCTTGTTAAAATTATATTTAAAAAAATAACACAAAGTGATAATCAGAAGATAGATAATACCAGAGTAAATAAAAATCAATAAAGAGAAGATTAAATAAGAAGAATCAAGCAGATGGTCAGCAGAACCTCCCTTAAAGAGAAAAGTGATAATGAAACACTGGAAAGCATGCAAAAGAATCTCTTGGGATAAGAAGTTACAAAACTTAAATCCTTCAAAATCCTTATTCTGTGTTCCCATTTTGGTCTATGGTAGGTTCATAGAAGGGTTTTCTCCAGATAAATGCAAGAAAAGGTGGTCCACCATGAAATTAACCAAGGCAATGACAGAGAATAAAAATTTTGGGGTTCTATTGAGGCTAAAACTCTGGTCTAGAAGCAGTTACTGCTAAAAAAAGAAGTGGGGATTAGAAGTGGCTCACTATAATTAATTCCAGACCGCTAATAAATCCAGTGGGTTGCATATATATTCTTGCATCCATGCAGGAGAGAACAAGATATTATATACATACATGTTCACAGCTGTTTGTTATAAGCCCCAATGACAGCAAAGCGATAACTTGGGAGTTATTTGTGGGATGGGTGACATCATGGACACAGGTGTCATAAATTGTCCCCTCCCAGGTAACCACACCAACACTTACATGTTCCCTCATGAAAAATAAGTAAAGCATTTAAAGCAAACAAATAAAAAGGTTCCCCCCCCCCAAAAAAAGACCCTGATGGATGAAAAAAAAAAAAAGCCTGTCAGGAAACAGCTTTCTGCCTGAACAATCTACATTTTTTTTTGTTCTAAGTATGAATATGAGCAAAAGGTCCACGAATGTTCCGGAAGCATCCCTTGTGCTCCCACCCATACCTACTAGCGCTTTGGTGCTTCTGCAGAATTTCTTTGACAGATCGAAAGCCACAGGTCCTCTAAGGAAATGCAGCGAAGCACAGAAGGAAAGGGTCACCTGCACGATTTCCAGTCCCCGATTAACATTTCTGTTACAAGCAAGCCTGTTTCAGGACTAGGGCGCATCTTGCCACCGGTCCCTGGGAATTATTATTTATGCCAGACACTCGAGGGCCTCTGGGCCTTTCTGCAGATGCAGCAAACCCTCTGATGGCAGACTGAGGCTGCTGCTGTTTATTCCTCTGGACACCACCTGCCCTTAAAAATAGAAGAGCTGCAGCTGCTGGTTTTGCTCCCTGCAAGCAATTGTTCGAAACAAAGATAACACCACCACCAAAATGAGAAAATGTTTAGTTTCAGCCAAGTTTTCCCAAGAATAGAATAACGGCCTTTTTTTGTGTTTTGTTTTCTGGTGGAAACTAATACTTGAACTGAGAAGATTTTCAGAAGTAATGCAAGACTCTTAATTCAGGTTGAGGTTCCCCCAAAATCCATTACCTCCCACAATTCCATTTGTCACTATCCTGAACTCTTAGATTGGCCTTATGTACTCTTAACTTTTCCCACCTGGTGTACTAGAGTATATAGATTTCCATAAGCTAAAGAATTTTCAAGCAGGCTTCATCTAAAAAACAAAAGGTTCAGAAAGGCATTTCTCTATTTAGCATTCGAGTTCAGTTGCAGCCCTGATCATTTGTGAATCTTGACCTTTCAGCTATCTATTCATGAGGTCTGGGAAAGGCCCTAAGGTAGGGGTCTCCAACCTTGGCAACTTTAAGACTTGTGGACTTTTAACTCCCAGAATTCCTCAGCCAGCATGGCTGGCAGGAGAATTCTGGGAGTTGAAGTCCACAAGTCTTAAAGTTACCAAGGTTGGAGACTCCTGTCCTGAGGGAAGGAGGCACTGAGAAAAGCCAGCTCTAGTAGAACTGGCTTAAAAACACCAACCCTCTGGACCAGGGGTCTTCAAACTTCGCTCTTTTATGACTTGTGGTCTTCAACTCCCAGAATTCTTCAGCCAGCGTGTCTGGCTGAGGAATTCTGGGAGTTGAAGTCTACAAGTCATAAAAGGACCAAGTTTGAAGACCCCTGCTCTGGACCTTTCAAAAGCTTGGAAGGTTTACGTCTGAAGGGCACCCTCAGATATGCAGACTTCAGCTCCCAGAACCCCCAACAATAGCCACGGTGGCTGGGGAATTCTGGGAGCTGAGGCTGACACAACTGGAGGACACCCACAACTTATACAATCTTAACCGGAATCAACAAGGCTGTACCTGGGTGAGGTGATGAACAGCGGCCCAGTAATTAAGATAGGTACTGTTATTCCTCAAACTTCCCATAACCAAGGTGACAAGAGTTTACCTCTTGCCAGCTCCACTTGAACCCAAGAGCAGTAATAAAGAAAACATGTTTAGAGCCAAGCTGGCAAGTTGTCACTATGCTCTGTTGGATCAGACCAAGGTCCATTACGCTACCTCTTGCAACAGCTAGTAACTACGAGCCTGGAAGGTCAAAAACGGTGCGGAGTAGAATATCAAACACCTGATTGTCCTCAAAGTCTGGTTAATAAGGTAGACTGTCTCTAACCATGGGGTTTTTATTTTAAAACATTTTTCAACTATGGGAATAATCACAATCACCCTCTACAAACCTGCCCAATGAATTCAGCAATTTCCAAGATTGTCACCAAGGTCCTATTGTTCTTTTAGACCTGTTTTAAAAACACTTAATGTTTTTAAAGCACAACACACATGCTGAAAGGATGGATGCAGCTTCCCAATGACCCCCGGCCTCCCAGGGAATGGAGGAACAAGCAGAAGGAGCAATCCTTCAGTTGCACAGAGCCAGGACAACAAAGTGCTAATCAGGGCGTGCTCCTTCTAGGGCTAATAGGTGGCTGCCTTTGGCAGGGTTGCTTTTCCATCTCCCCAATCAGATAATCTTGAGCTGCTTCAACCAAGCCAGTTTCATTTCCTTGACTCCCTTCTGGCTTCGTCCTGCTTCCTTCTCAGGAAAGTACAATTCTGCTGACAGAGAGGCAAACAGGGGACTCATGCCTGCACTCACTCTTGTCAGCCCCACTCGGCAGAGCTCTGTTCAGCCTGCCACCCAGCAGTTTCTTCTCTTTTAAGCAAGCCAATTAACTCCTGTCTCATTCACCTCAGGCTACAATTACAGGTGAGCGCCTGTTCTTCCAATTCAAAAGCTCTGCAGCCTGGGGTTTATATCCACGGTGGTTAAGTGTCTAATCAAGTTCATTCAGGTCCCTCCTCCTCTTCCTCCATTTGCTACTGTTATCCGGACCACACAGTTTCATTTTAACTGTAGCACTGCAGAATTTAAAGCAGATAATAGCTTAAAATAGCAGTCAGCAATTTTGACAGTCCCGGGTTTCTGGATGTTGAATCCCTCCCACGTTTGGCAAGATGTTTACCAAGGAAAGCTGCGCTGGCCTATGACCGGTATCCATCACTGCATCGTGGCTCATACGTGGCCATACCGAATGATTAATGTAGCCACAAAGGAGGAGCGCAGGTCAACTCGGTTTGGATCTCTGAAAATTCTTCTGAGCCATACGCTGCGTTAGGGACACCTCAACCATCTCAGACGCTGCCAGGTTTGCACACACAATGAACGTTTCCTCATGACTGAAGAGGCAGTAGGAAACCACATGTTACTGGGCAGACGCAGAGTTTATAACTTTTCTATGCACAAAGTAAGCGAGAATCTTCTTTGGTCACCTCACAGTCTCCACACGTGACACAGAGGGAAGGAACTAGGACAGTGGTGGCGAACCTATGGCACGGGTGCCAGAGGCGGCACTCAGAGTCCTCTCTGTGGGCACGTGCGCTGCTGTCGCCCCAGTCCTAGGCCTTTAGCTGGGTTTTATAAAACCTTTTCGCTTTAGGCCTCTGCCGCCATGTACAAAAAAAAAAAAGGTTCAATCAATCAGTCAATTTCAACTTCTCGCGGGAAAGAAAATCTTGCAAAGTTGGAATTGATTGAACTTTTTAATCCCACCCAGTCTGCCGTTACCACCGCAGCCATGCCCACCCAATGGGCCATGCCCATCCAATGGGCCACACCCAGCCAATGGGCCATACCCACCCGGCACCTGACGATGCATAAGTGGGTTTTGGGTAGCAGTTTGGGCACTCGGTCTCTAAAAGGTTCGCCATCACTGAACTAGGACTAGGAAAGTCACATTTCATTTAATTACCTCCAAACTCAGCAATTTAACTGTAAAAAGCTATGTAAAGTCATGCAATATTTTGAGATTCTCTCCTAAAATCTTTTTTTTTTTTTTTTTTTAAATCTCAACTGGCTGCTTCATGACAGCTTGCTTGCTAGAGCAACTATTTAACTTCCTATCTAAATTGTTGAAGTTACTTAGCAGCCACAAGCCGTATATTATTTCTGATTAGAGGTGGGGCCATCCTAAACCAGTCTGGGAAGAATCAGGGTTCACTATGATACACATTTATAACCGGTGGAACTTTTAATGTTTGTAGCATTAAAAACAGTTTTATAATTATTTAAATGAGTGCATCCCAATCTAAGTAACTTTATAATGTGTGGGCTTCAACAGTCACTATAGCCATTGCTGAGAGGTTTGGGAATCGAAGTCCATGCGTCTCAAGATGGTCAGAATAGAAACACTGGTTTAAATTGTTTATTAATGCATATTATTTAAATAGTACGGATGGATTCGTCTAGTGTTGCTCTCTTTTATTACATTTTAACAATTTTAATTTGTGTAGTGGAAGTCACATGAATTTTAAAAGAAAAATATATATGGGCTTTCAGACATCCAATGGATATTTTAACAATCAAGCACCATCCTTCAACTTACCCCTTGACTTCCTTGAAACTGGATCGATGGCTTCAAACCCACAGAATCCTATACAAAAGGGGAAAAAATATAGATGAGTCACAAGACTTACTAAGCATTAAGGGTGATGCTGTTCCCTTTGAGCTAAAGCAGACTGATTTGATAGCTATAAAAAAAGGCCAGGAGCATTCTATCCATTTTAGGAGCTTTAAAAGTCTTTATTTTTAAAAATTTTTAACTGAACTCTGTTTGTCATTGTTAAAGGTTCACATATCAGCCACAAAGATCTAATGGAACCTCCATGTACAAAGAGATTTATTCTAAAATATCAACTGCCAAAATCAAGCAACAGGGAAAGGATGCGTTTTCTTCACAATGTTTTCCAATGATGCCTGATTGGCTGGCTAGGGAATTCTGGGAATTGAAGTCCACACATCTTCATGCTGCCAAGGATGAGAAACAATGATCTAAAATGGAGATTGCCCTGATTCACTAGACTTACATTTATATTAGAGAAGCTGCCCACTGCACTATAAACCTACTCCCCATGGCCACCAAAAATCATTCTAAGCCATCCCCAAATACAGGCAGTTCTGGAGTTACGAGTGTAATGGAGCCTGCCCTCAAAAACTCAAGAGTGAATCTCGTACCTCAAACGAGATAGCTCCCTTGCTCGTTAAGACACACGTGGCTCGTTAAGTGAACATGAGGCATCTCAGGGTGGGCCTTCCTGCCGCGCCAGACTCACCTTGAAAAGATCCGTCTCCTTTCTGCCACGGGTCCTGCTTCCGCCCGGATCTGAGACCAGGGGACGCTTCCGTGGCCCGTTCCGGGTGCTGGATACCTTCTCCAGGCTGCTGCCACCCAAAAACGGGCTGCCAGAGGGCCGCAGAAGCATCCCCCAGCCTCAGATCCAGGCGGCAGCAGCCTGGAGAAGGCGTCTGGTACCCAGATTGGGCTGCTGGAGGGCTGCGGAAATGTCCCCCGACTTCAGTTCCATTCTCTGTTGCAGAGAACAGAGGCCTAAAGTACCAAGAGATCACGCGAGTGAGATCTCTCCCCACTGATCTCGCGTGATCTTGCATTACTTTAGGCCTCCATTCCCTGCGAATGCACCAAAGACCTGGAGCATCCAAGAAAGCGAAGGATCTCAATCTGCACAGGGCGAGTATTAAAGGCCTGGTGCCTAGGGAGATCCAGGGTAGGGGTGGGGAGGGAGGGGATAACCAGAGTGAATGTTGCAGTGCCACTGCGGTCGCTCGTAAGGGCGAACGACTGCCGTGGTGCTGCCATAGTCATAATTTCGGGACTTGCTCGTAAGCACTAGGGGGACGCATATTTCATAACTTCGAACTAGCGTTAAGTGAACCCTTGTAACTTGGGGATTACCTGTAATGATTAACGCTTAGCTTTGCTCCTTAAGACCTAATGGGGAAAGGATGCTCTACATATCCACCTTCGCAAAAATCAGAAAGACCCAGTCTCAGAGACTGACTTTCTTAGTACTACCCCTCCCTCTGCACCAGCCTGCCTCCTGAGATGTCCTCCCCCCCCATTGATGTTTCCAGAGCTGACAAAGCAAACCTCTTTAAGACAGCATATGAACTCATTCAACAAGTTACAGGTTTATTTAGTTTTTAGCAGTTTTATTATTAGTTTATGAATAGATTTTATCATTTTATTTATCTCGTACGTTGAAGGTTATCTCTAATCAGAAGAGCACCCATCTATACATTTTGGTAACTAAAAACTATACATGTGTTCTTATTAAATAGAAGCAAGCCAAAATGATGCTTAATTTTCAGCACACATCCCAACACAGTCTTTGTTTCTCCTTCAAGCTTGTCTGTACTAGCTCAACTTGGTTAAAGTGGATATCTGCAATTATTGTCAGTGCCGAGTCACAATAATATTAGGAAGGCTGCAAGGAGAGACTTGCAAAGTTGTAGCCTTGAATGATCTCTAATACCCTACTCAGCCTACAAGGATGAGGGTTTTTTTCTTCCTATACCCAGCTCCTCCATATCATCTGCATAAGCAGCAGTTCTGGGATATGAGGCCGAAAGATCAGAAAAAAGTTATGTAAAAAAAAATAAATTCTTGACTAGCAACTTTGGCAAAAACACAGGTAGTCCTCGGTTTACGACCATTCATTTAGTGACTGTTCAAAGTTACAATGGCACTGAAAAGTGACTGATGATTGTTTTTCACACTTACAACCGCTGCAGCATCCCAATGGTCATGCGATTAAAATTCGGATGCTGGGCAACTGGTTCATATTTATGACGGTTGCCGTGTCCCAGGGGGGGTCACGTGATCACTTTTTGCGACTTTCTCACAAGCAAAGTCAAGGGGGAAGCCAGACTGACTTAACAACCGTGTTACTAACTTAACAACTGCAATGATTCACTTAACAACTGTGGCACGAAAGGTCGCAAAATGGGGCAAAGCTCGCTTAACCACTGTCTCGCTTAGCCACAGAAATGTTGGGCTCAACTGTGGCCGTACGTCAAGGATTACCTGCATTTTTAAAAGCAAGAGCAGAAAGGACTATCGATTCGCCATGTAGCACCGTTTACAGCAGGCGCGCTACCTGCCAGCAGCCCAGCAAGCCTCAAGAGAGCCGAGAGTCTCTTGCTTCATTAGGAGCTCCTCGGGTTATGTGGGCTCGTGGGTCCCCCTTGAGATGCTGCTGTAGCGCAGCAAAAGAAAGGAGCTGGCAGGCTTGCTACGAATAGCGGCCGAAGTCATCAAGTGCTCTGTCGCTGCAAGATAATAGTGAGTATTTCCATAACGGCAGACAAGAATCCATCAGTAGAGAGGTTTCCTCTTCTCTCCCAGAAAAAGAAACCACAGAACCATGTTCATATTTCACGGCACAATAAAGGCTAGTTGCCTCTTCTAAATTTAAATCTAGAAGCTAGTTGAAATATGTCCATCGACCAAGGTCCAGCCAGCCCTGTTCCACTTGCTGATGTCTCCCAGGAAAACACCTGATCCAGCCCAGGTCTGGAGCACACAAGGCCCTCACCACACCACCAGGAACGTGAGATAGAAATAACACTGCACCTCTCAACACTGTATGCTAGCAATCGTATAGAAATGCTCAGGCAAGGCTGTTGCCTAGTAACTTTCAGATTAGGGACATATTCCTCCAGTGCACTTTATACCAGGCCCTCTTTGAAGACAACTTGTAGCTTCAACTGTCCAAAGGGCAGCAGTCCTTCTGCTAACTGGGGAAGCAGATTTAGATAGGGACTGCTGATGCTATACAGTAATCACAACGACCGGTTTCCAATTTGCTTCCTGGACCAATTCAAAACGCTGGTCAATACCTCTGAAGATAACATGGCCCAGCTCTGTGGTTACTTACAGGATTCTCTCTCTTGACAAGAACCAAGAGATTCTTGGGCCTTCTTCCAAGAAGGATCTGCTAAGGATTCCCACCCAGTGTGAAATGAAGGGAGTGGGGGCTCAGTAAGCTGTACCCACACCGGCTGCCCCCCACACCGGTACTTTACTTTCCACAGTACAAAATGTACTGAAGCTCCTGACTTTGGGGAAGGCGTTTAAGATTTGGCTATTTCACTGAGTGTTGGCACTAATGAGCTTCTTTTGTAGTTACTGAGAGAAGAGGATATTTGCAGTTTGTTAGCTTGCAATTTTTCCTATTACCTTGCGCAGGTTTGCTAAATGTATGTTTGTTTAATCGTAATCTGCTTTGAATCCGGAGAAGTAGGTGAGATATAAAAGGGGGCTGTAAATCAACAGCTAAATTGGACATCCAGCTATGAGGTCACTGCTATACCCCCACAGAAAGTTTGTGTATAATTACGTGGATTGTGTACATATGTTTACTTTTCTTCTGGCATGTTCTCATCCTACGTTAAATAATAAACAAATATAATTTCTCCCTCTTTTTCTCCTCTGCAGGCTCTGCCAAGAACACAGCTAATGAAGAATGATAAGGCAGAGCAGTAACAGGCAGGAAGGAGAAGCCATTTACAGAGATATTATGGCCTGTGAAGGCAGAGTTTTTCCCTCCATGCGTTAATAAACTGTTTGGTTCTTTGGGGGAACAAAAAGGAATCAAAATATCCAACAGGCTTCACAGGGCGTGCCAGAGAAAGGACCCAGAGGAGAGAAGGCATGAGGTCAGATGGCAGGACAAGGGCTTACTAATAGGCACCCTGGTGTGACAGCAATCACACTGCTGAAGTGATAATTAGCCAGGATGCAGCATTTCTCTCTACGTGCAAATAGGAGTAGCTGACAGCTTTTGTAGGGTACCTGTACAATCTTAATTTAAGAATGGGAATAGATCAACTGGGCCAATCTAGAGGAACTCACCAAAAGGCATCTGCTTATACATGCAGGAGTGCCAAGCATATATAGACTTTCTCCTACTGAATGCTTCATTCACGAGCAGTAAATACGTTAGCAGGGCAAGAAAATGGCAGCCTTCTCCATCCCCTTTTCATAACTGGTATAAAATAGCGTAAAGACATATTACTTTTAAATATGGAGAATCTACTTTTTAACAAGAGCAGCCCTAATAAAACAGAGCAAAGGAAATGTGTTACTAATAGCCAGTGAAATGTCTTTAGGAAGCCACAAAATCAATAGCTGTTTGCTAATAGCTAATATTCAATGGTCTGTTTTGATTTTTAAATAGAATCTATCTGTAATCCTTGAACGGAATCTAGGCAATCAGCAGTAGATCGGCAAAAGTTTCTAATTCCAACAATCTGACAGCAATAAAAAAAAACTTCTTAGTCCTGGCATCATAAAATATATTTTGAAACAGAACACTTGGGGGACAGACAGGAATGGACTATTTTTTGAGAAAAGACTTTTCAACTTGATTCGGGCACTGATCATCAATTTTGGACTGGGCATATATGGTCAGGGATACAAGATTCATTCTCAGGGCGTAGCCTCCTATCTTGTACCTGCTAGGAGTTTTGGATCTCAGATACATCAACTCAGCTTGTTGCAATCTGCCTGGGCCTAATAACTTCCGACAGCTGAATTAGCATAATACTTTGAGGGAAGTAAAAATCCATTTG